CCCACAAACGTTGAGTGCTTTCCCTTGTGGTAGAACATAACATGTAAGACGCATGCATACTAGCATTGCTAGTGTGATAAACTCCGTTCTCGAGTTCAGATGCATGCTTTTTTTTTCGTAAATGAGTGATGTCACACTCTCATTTTAGCTGGGGATAGTAGCTATATTTCAGGTAACGTCAGTTCTCCTTTTTTAGTGCAAAGAATGCTACTGTGACTGTGTATCTTCTGGAATCTTCCCTAGCTTGATTCAAGAAATGTCGTCTGCTGTTTCATAAGTATTGTGTGTTTGCCAGGGTTGAAATAGAGAATGGGAACATATTGCTTCTCCTTAGCAGCTTGTTTGTTTCCTCTTCTATGAAAGAAATCAACACTGAAAATGCTTGCAAAAGAGACTACTTATTTTGATGTATTACATGCAATATATATGGAGACAAGCGGTCCCACATTAGGAAAGAAATTCTGCCTCATAACAAACCTTACCTATAGCCTTGAGTGAAATGCAATGAAAAAGGTCTGTGAGCTCATACAACTTGAATACATACAAATTTTCCCAGCAGGCAGACTAAGAGTACTCTATGAATGTTTTGGTACGAGTGTCTTCTGTGACCTAAGAACCCCTTTAACCTTTACCAATCCATGTTCAGCTGCAATTTTGCCACCCTAGCTATTCTGGAGGTATGTGTTTGTAATATGTGTGCAACAAAAGCCAATGAAAAAAGCGTGCGTTTGTGAGATAAGTGCGACCTTGCATGGTACGAACCCAGCTTGTTTTAACAGTCTTTAATAATACACCAATAATTGCAAGTTCACCAGCATGTTTCATCTCTAGATTACTTAATCCACAAGTTTGGCCATAGGTCTCCTTTCATTCTTAAAAAGTTAAGAAATAACAGAAATCAATACAAAATCAAGCCAGCATGCTTAGAAAGGTAAAAAACTGTGGTTCCAAATGGCATTATTTCTTGTTTTGTCTATTCACCCTGTTCTGTCTTTATTTTGCTTAAAAACCAAGTAGCATAATAGACCGTTTGCATGATCCAGTCACATGGTACAAAATCACACATGCTGGTGCGCAAGTTGCGCAAAGGGACTTCCAAAACAAAGGCAGGTCCAGGTGGACTGGTATGAGTTGCATTCTTTTGGAAGTCTCACTGTGCAACTTGCACACCAGCATGCGTGATTTTGTGCCAGGTGACCGGATCATGCAAAGGACCTATTGTGACCTTACACAGGAAAACGTATACTGCGCCTTATCTGTTAAACGGATAAAAGCGTTTATCATCCATTTGTAATCTATTTGTAATTCGTTTAAACGTTTTATGAAAACCATTTAGAGTGTTAGGTGAAACGTTTAACGTTACAATCAAACCATTCGAACGGCTTTTGCAACCATTCATAAATTTTCTGGACATGTTAAAACGGAAAGAGGTGTCCGTTAAGAACATCTAAACAGCCGTTAAAACGGCAAAAGTAATCTGTTAAAAAATCCAAGTATACGTTTAAACGGCAAAAGCAATCTTTAAAGAAATCTTTGAATTCGTTTTAATGGGAAGCCTATGCAGTATCCATTTAGAAGGTCTTGGAACCATTATAAAAATGTTTTAACAAACATTTTAAGCTTACTGTTAAAACGACCAAGAACAATGTTAACCAGAAGCTACAGAGTTCAGAAGACAGGCAGAACGGAGTGGTAAAACAATTTGTCAAACTGAACAGAAAGCCGTGGTATGCTTGAAAATAAGCTTAGATCAAGTTGGCATCTCGTCTGCGAACGCTCAATTTACAATTCTGTACAGACATGGACAGAACTGTGTTTCTGTTTTCTTGACAATTCAACATACAGACAGTTTCCAACCGTGAGTAGTTATGCGCTTGCTTTGAATTATATTATCTATATCCAATCTACTGATGATTAATTAGAGTCATTCTTATTGCTTTCAAGCACTTATGGTTGGATATACAGTGCAGCTCAGATATATCAGAACCAAAATATACGCGTAATTCGTGTCAGCCCAATACATGTATACACGTATGCGTATATGCACATACGCGTATACATTATATACGCATATGCCTGATTACTATGTATGAGCTAACCTATTGTTTTTTCTTTTCTTAACAAGTCGTTGTTTTCAATGGCTTGACAGCTTGCCACAGAGTGAGAAAGAGTTTTCTTTATTTTTAATACGCGTACACAAGATACACGTGTGTCCCTTCAGACTAGACTTATTATCAAAATGTTTGCTGAAACTAACATTTTGCAATTAGGCACTTGACAGAAAATTAGCTGACTGAATATTAATGAAAAGAGAGAGTATTTTGCCGTTAAATCAAAAATTTACTGTTTTTTTGGTCAAATAGACCCTGGGATACACGCTTCCACAATCCCATGTTCATGGAGCAAACAACACAACCGAAAGATAACATTTTTCGACACAAAGTAAACACGGTCCAAGCAAGCGACTTGGAAACATGTGCCGAAACACACAACTTTTCCTTGAAGAAAATTAAAAGTAACAAAATGTGAGCAGCGCACCATAGAAACCTCAGTAAACATTTCTTTCGTCAGGGAAGGAATATTTTACCATTTGAATGAATGATTTGTGTCAGATATAACTGGAGATGTCATTTTCTCGACAAGGTCAAGGTCAATAAACATCTTGCAAGTGACTTGCCGATGCATGCCGAAACACAGAACTTATCCTTGAAGAAAAAATAACTAAACGTGAGCGACATGCTGATGAAACTGATAAACAATTATTTGGCTAAAGAAAGAGCATGTTACCGTTTGAATGAACGGTTTGTGTCAAATGTAACCGGAGATATCATGTTTTTGACAAGGTCTTCGGAACATTTCAAACAATAAACATCTCACAAGCGACTTGCCGATGTGTGCCTAAACACANGGATGTTTTGAAATAAATGTAATGTTAGAGGCGTCATTATTTCCTCTGTTGTCACTTGATTCAGCCGAATCAAACAAACTAATGTGTAAATTTAAATCAGTCGTTTTATCACCTTTGTCTGTGGCTCCTTTATAGTTTCCAGCCCACGTGTTGACCACAATAGGAAAGCTATTAGAATCGTTAGCTGAGCTTTTGACGCACAGGAATGGTAATATCACTCCACAAAGAGGAAGAAGAAAAAGTTGTAGATTGTACAAATGGACCATTTTAGAAATGACTGCTTTCAAAATAAACTAAAGCAGGTGACCTGCTGGTGCTAGTTCAAGTGATGTGCATTTGTTTGGAATACCGATGGGGCATTGGCCATACATGTTGCTAGTTTAGGTTCAAGAAGATGTTTCAGGTAATGCACCCTGCGGTGAGAACGAGATGCTCGCGCCTCCGTCTTTGCGACAAAGAAAATACGAAGTGTGGCCCGAAAATTCTACCAGTTACGCTATTTCATATTCCCATGTATTTATTTATTTATTTATTTTTGTACACATTTTTTAATTCAGGGCCTATGTATGTTTCTATCTTTCCCCTCGCATTTCTATCTAAAACTTCTATGCAAGTCTTACTTCTAAAGTTGTGTTGAGGCTTTTGTCACAAGGCTTACATGAAGCAGTCATCGACTCACTTCGAGAAGCTTGGCTGCTAAGCCCATACACAAGACGCCATATTGGATTTTTGTGTACACTTTCTTCAAGACTAGTCGTCTTTCTCCTTAGCTGTTAGACATGATAAGGACAATACTATGGTTTGGAGGTGCCGGATTGTTTGCATCGTGTTACTCTAATCTGGTGCGAGGTTATCCAGCGTTTAGAAGTAAGTAATGGTATTATTTTTATTGCACTTTGAACGACACTTGAACAGTGTGAGCCAAGTTGTATTAAGCTTGCTTACCCTGTACATTGTGCATGTTCGATACTTGTAAGCTGAAATATAGCTCAGATTGTGGTGTAAACTGCAGAGTAAAGAGTACATTTACCAGAGCCAAACGTTCCAAACTAGCCACGAAATACATACATGCAAACGCAATGACATACTAGTTTTGTCTATGTTCTTACACATCCACTGCGGAATATTTATGTATTTAAGTTAAGGTGCTCTTAGTGATACTACGTTAAGTTTCATTTGAAATGTGTCACCATACATATAGGGCCTCATCCTTCAAACCTTAAAGTGGATCATGTGGGATGGTAGACAATGGTTCAGAATTCATTAAATGTACAATGTTTGTACATGAAACTAACCTAAAGATTTTGCAGAACCCTTGATGCATGTATTCTACACCAGTGCTTTTCTGTGGCTTGGTTATAAGGCACATCAGTATGAAGAAAGAGCCGAGGAAAATTATGAAGAGATGGTTAAAAAGCACAAAAATGTACCATGGTGGCCAAGGGCTCAACTTTTAGCAGAGAGAGCTGAAAGGTTAAAAACTGAGAAGGAAGGTATATGTTGTCAATGTTGGATTTAAACCAATATTAAGCCTGATTAAAACCTGGGTTTGTAGGGTTTTTTGGTCTGTGGGTGTGGGGAGGGTGTGAAAGTAGGTTTAAGGCAGAATGGTTTTCCCCCTTCATAACTTCAAGAGTAAATCCAAGATGATGGTGTCATGTGATGTGAGACTTTGATCATAATAAATTTGAACATCTGCCATTTTTTTGATCTTGTGGTTCTCATGATTGCAAAAAAGCACCAAACCTCAAAATCAATAAAGAGGGTGCCAAAACAAAGATGACAGTTAAGGCAAAATCCGATAGGAAATCAAGCAATTTCAGTTTTAAGTGGACAAAAACCTTGTACCAGATTAGTTTTAGGTATTTTACAGTCCATTTTACATTTTCGTAAAGCTAAAGATACACATGTAAGTACAAGCAGTTGCCTGAAATTAACAGAGAAAACAATTTTCCATGGGAACTTGAGAAAATAAATTTGTAAGTTCAGAGAAATTGTGCTTGCAAACACAGGTAAAATCTCATCATCAGTTTCATTTCACCTGTACTTTCACTTGTTTCATAAGAAGTTCAAAATGTGTTTTTGACACTTGGTGTTGTTAGAAATGACATTTTTTGAGAAGATATTTAAAATAGTCAAACAGAAGTTTGCATTACAATGTAAGTAATCTCGGTACAGAGTTTTTGTCCACTTGTTAAATACTTGAATTTCTATTGGATTCCATCTTAAATCTTTTCTTCAAAAAAAGGCAACAACTCTTATTTTGGAGAAAGATTTGATTTTCTTTTAAAATTCTTGGGTGGTTGAAAGGGAAACATTACATTCTGTGAACAATGATGTCTTGTCAGAAAATATTCTGGACAAATTTCAGGTTATGTCACAAAGGTGATACATGTTTGGAATCAAAGTCACAAAATTTGTTAATAACCATTGAAAGGTAGGAATGAGAGAGACGTGGAATTGAGCAGCTATTTCAGCAACAAACTATCCCCTCCTCACAGTGCTGACAGACTATGGGTACACACATGCCACTGCCACATTTCTCTTATAACATCACAGCATTTTTACTATCTACTGGTGTGTAACTGTGATTTTTCATTTCTCTACTTTGTTAGCTGCTCTAGCAGAAATGGAAGAAGCAACTGCATGTGAGTATCAAAAGCGGTTTGGTACATGTACATATTATACTTCCCTGTATTGTCTTGGTTGCAGGGGGGGGGGGAGGGGGTGTTGGTATGAGGTGGGGCAAGCACATTAGACATTTTACTCTTTTGCCTCTCACGTTTCTCCAAATACAAGATAAGAAAAGTATTATAAATGGAATGTATGTTGTTTGAATTTATTACTTTGTTGTGAAATTTAAGGGGCAAAGGATTGAGAATTTGTAAAGAAAAGTCTAAGGTTTAGATTATTTCTTTAGTTGCAAATAATTTAAAATTAGAGACACTGCCTTTTCTCAGTTGCAGTGAGGGTGACAGCTTGCAGGCCATTCCTGTCTTTTTTATGCTGTACCTGACTGGCAGGGCGTGTTCATGGGCTAAATCAAGGGGTATACTATGATGGAATGTACCCACAATTAATAAAGTATCTTGCCCTTACGAATTTTGTTATATATTTTTTCTTTCACAGAAGAATGAAGCCACATTTCTGGGGATCTTTTAGTTAGAACTTGACATTTCTGATGGAGACTTCTACACCAAAACTATTACGTTAATCTGTTGTAGCTATCTGTTACACCTTGCAGCCTTTCAGAATTAAATGATCTAACTAACTTTTGCAATGTAAATATAAGAGGTTGGACTTGAAGTTAANTTGTGAGAAAGCTAAAATATAGAGCGAGAGTGTACGGTAATTTGTAAAAATAATATAATATTGTCATTTAGAAAAAGTGGAAATATATATGAATATATCGATTACTTTCCCTTGGGGGGGGGGGGGGGGGGGGGGGGTGTTGGGATGAGGTGGTGCAAGCACATTAGACATTTTTCTCTTTTGCCTCTCAAGTTTCTCAAAGTACAAGATAAGAAAAGTATTATAAATGGAATGTATGTTGTTTAAATTTGTTACTTTGTTGTGAAATTTAAGGGGCAAAGCATTGAGAATTTTGTAAAGAAAAGTCTAAGGTTTAGATTATTTCTTTAATTGCAAATAATTTAAAATTAGAGACACTGCCTTTTCCCAGTTGCAGTGAGGGTGACAGCTTGCAGGCCATTCCTGTCTTTTTTATGCTGTACCTGACTGGCAGGGCATCTTCATGGGCTAAATCAAGGGGTATACTATGATGGAATGTACCCACAATTAATAAAGTATCCTGCCCTTACAAAATTTGTTATATATTTTTTCTTTCACAGAAGAATGAAGCCACATTTCTGGGGACCTTTTAGTTAGAACTTGACATTTCTGATGGAGACTTCTACACCAAAACCATTACGTTAATCTGTTGTAGCTATCTGTTAAACCTTACAGCCTTTCAGAATTAAATGATCTAACTAACTTTTGCAATGTAAATATAAGAGGTTGGACTTGAAGTTAATAAAAATTGTAATTTCTTTTACTGATGTGGTATGGATTGCATTAAATAATGCTTACTGGTTTTACTTGTTAACCTGTGAACTCAAATCCTCTAGTCGCTCTTTCAACACCTAGGTTGAAACACTGCTAATTCTTATATGTAGACGCTCTATATATAGAGATGTGGGCGGTGAGATGTTTCTGTGAACAAATGTTGAGCCCAAAAGGTCGGGGGCCCATTTCTCGAAAGCCCTGAATCTTTTTGGGCCCGAAAAGCCACTTTTAGTTAATCGGTATAAGACAGAGTGGTGTATACGCCTGAAACGTCTTGCATGAGGACAACCTCTGTTCGTATTAAGAATACATGAATAAAACAGCTCTGTAGTCAAAAGTTTTAAGATTTAGCAAATGCTTTTCGGGTGCGAAAACTTTGCGGGACCTTTTAGCAGGAGTCTACTGGGCAGAGAGGGTTGTCAGTTCTCAGATGCCCAGGGAGAGATCTGCATGAATTAAACACAAGTTGAATGACTTGGCAGGAAGAAATATTGTTATTGGTTGTTGGTTTGTTTTGTTTGTTTGTTTGTTTGTTTGTTTGTTTGTTTGTTTGTTGATTTTTGACCCATTTCAGCTTTTGTTTGATGTGGTTGTCTCCAATGTTAAGAGGCATTATAATAATGGTGTCTGGCTCACAACAAAGCCATGTACCTGGAAGTAACAAGTAATAATTATTGTCCATCATGGCTCCCAAGCCAAAATATGTTAAATTTCCAAGTAACGTTCTGAAACATGTAAGTTGGCGATTTCATCTACATAACATCCTTTTCAAGATCCACTCTGTTCAAGATTTAATTTAAAATTTCAGGTTTTCCTTGCCTACTCCAGATGCAATTTTGTTTTTTACAAGGAAAATCTCAATTTATGCCCCATTCTCTTATCCTTCTTCTTTGATCCTTTGACTATCTTTTCGGGGGAAAGGGGCGTTAATTTATTCATTTTATAAATGTGTGGGGACTCGCAGTCCATTTGCAATGTCAGTTGGAGTGTTCGCCATATTGAATCTATTAGTCCGAAAAGAACCTGGGTACGACGTTATGTTATTTACCACTGATACGAGCTGGAAGTCACGTGACTTGGTCAGTTAGGAGAAAATTAGAAAGTGTGTTTTTTTCCCTTCTTTTAAAGAACTGTTTTGTTCAAATCATGTCTTCCTAGACACCAAGATGAATTTAAATTGTTATGGCGATTAAATGCATTACGGCAAGCCTTCACCCTTTTAAATGAAGCGATTGTGAATACAATAAAGAAAAGTTTTTAGGATAAATTATTTAAACTAAGAGTGAATTTTGACGTTGTTATTGCTGCATTACATTCCTTTTGTTAAAAAAACTCATGTCACTTGAATAACTGCAAAATTACTCATTTTTTAATGTATGTCTGCATGCTTCATAAGGGCAGGAAAGAGCCAGTGAAATATGAACGTCAATCACATTATTGCGAAATAAGTAAAGTAACGCGACTGCTTCTCAAGGTAAGTCAGGCTTCCCAGACAATGGGACAGCTCGACAGGTGAAGATGCATTAGAAAAAAAGATCAAATAAGGCTACTGTTTAGTTTTTAATCACGTACATTTGGGGAATGCATTAAAAGTTGAATTATTAAAATTTCAAAAGACGACATTTATATATTTTCAGCCAACCGTAAATTTATGATGCCATTATTTTTTTTGCCAGTAGTAATTTATGATTTCCCTCTAACAGAGCTAACCTAACCTAACGTCAGACAGTGCTAATTAGTGTACGGTAGAATTACGCTTACATGCATAATATTAACATCAGGATCTCAGGTATCCAGAAATGATTGCCATTCGAATCTAAAATTAGCTCCTATGTGGTCTTGCGAGAGACTGTAGCCATAAAGAAGCAAGAACGGCGAACCTGACACATGGATTTCCTCGCTCAGATTAACCACCTTTTTAGGTAAGGGAACGATCTCTATGTCGTAGGCCCTTTGTAGTCGATTACATCTTATTAATTTGTAAACAAGCCAGCAAGCGAAAGAAGCTGGCCAACATTCGGCACTCCGCCTAACAGTTGAGTGATGATTCAGCGATTCCCAGTCCTTGTTTTCCACACCTTAAGTTCCCACTAACTAACAGCCCCGGAAACGGAGATAAGTAACAAGTGCATCAAAAAGCATTCGTTTTGCTACTATAGCTCATAGCAGATATAGCACAATTTTAAATGAAGATCCCTTCATTGCTTTCGAGATAACATATCTTCTTTAACTTGAAGATAACAGCGAAGCAACGATACTTAACCTCGAACCCTTCAAACAGTTTTGTTCGACGAACTGACGACAGGCACATTTAGGAACTTCAGTTACTCGTATTTGATTTCTATCCTAAAATCATGCTATCTCTTTTAATTCTTGGCGAAGAATAAATTATCACCTGGTGGCTTACAGTTTAAACTCATAAAATTTTCATTTTTCCCCTTCAAGTCAAAGACCATTAAATTCTGTAGCCATTGTAAAATAACTCTCATGAGATCATCTGTTTAAAGCGTTGAACAAACGGTGTAAAATGGTCATAAAATGATGTTTGGTCGTAACTGCTGCCAGTTCTACGTCGACGAAGACCTTTGAATATACTCGCTAACTTCCCCGTCAGTTCGTTTCTCTACTTTCCTCTGTTTTCTGTATAAAATTCAAACTTTTAGCGGCTGTATATTGCCCAGGAGATAAACATAAAAGAGTACTGATTTCCAAGTAGAGTCATAATGGATTCCAAAACGGAAATTGCCACTTGTCGATTTTAGTAAATATTTATGTCATATATAAAAAAAATTATATCGTTTCTTGTGGGAAGACACACTGTAGTTATCGGCATGTGGTTCTTACACTACGGCACGATGCTTTTCGTGAAAAGTTCACTCGTTTCGCGTTTCGGGTTTCACGCTTCTTGTTTTAGTCTTAACGTGCCGTACCGTCACGACAAAGGGTTTTCCAACGGACGCTTTTACTTTGTTTTGCTTGAAAACGATCATCATTCGTGACCAATGTTTCACAAATATCTTTGCCTGTGACTGTTACGTTCGGAAATTACCTTCAAAACGTTTTATTCAAGGTTTGCTTTTCGTTTTGTCATTTTTCAAAGCAAAAATTAGACCAGCCGTCAAATGTAAACCACTACGGCTATAAAATATTCAACTTTAATACATGAGGCGGTCGCAAGCAGAGAAAAAACTTCCGTGGCCTAGAATAATTATTTAATTGCTGTTTGTAGCAGCTGATTGTTTCGCGCTCGCCTTGTTTCCTAGGAGACGATGACTAAATTATTACTTTGTTCGCTTTTATGATTGGTTCTCTTGATAGTAGCGATCCTTGAATTTATATACTGTTGGATCCCGCTAATTCTAACTAGGTTATTTTCAATTCCCCGTTATTTCGAACTCAAAGCCATTTACCTTGGATTAGTCCTTCAGTCATGTACTATCGATTATTTCGCCCGATCGAACTATTTTTCTTTTCCCCTGAGAGTTCGAAATAGCGGGGTTACGTTCAATCGTAAATTTAAAAAAAAACAACAATAATAATAACTTTAAAAAAGATAAAATAAATAAATCAGCCAGCTGCTTTCCAGGTTCAGTGTAGTCGCAATTTTCTGTGCCAAAGAGTGGCGTATGTCAGGATTATTAATTATTAAACGTAGTGAAGGGATTTTAAACTACCTAGTAAACGAGAGTGGGGTCTTTACGGGAAAGTCTAAAACCGAGACCATACCGTATTGACTGAGCGATATCGAGGTCTGGTGCGATAAGCCTGAGGTTTGCTTTTTTCATAAAGACCGAACGTTCGAGGTTAATAAGTTGTTTATTATATGGAATTTTTCTTGGTTTTTGCAGGCCCGTAAAGCCAATCAGAGCGCACGTTATATCGGCTACAAACACAAGCCATTTAAAAAGGGGAATTTTATTACTATAATTTGCGTGCTACTTAAATTAGCTCGCTTTGTAAAATGTCTGCTTTCTTATCATTTGCCTTGCCAGAACCAAAACTGTTATCTGTCTAGCCAGGTATAGTCATTCGCTTGCTTTATACAGCTCCGTCTGCACTTGTAAGATGTGCTTTTTTTCCTTATCATATGCCTGAATATAACAGCAAAATCCATTAGCAGTTTTGTTTAGCAGCATGTTTCATTTTTCATTAAATTGTCGAAGTAGCCAGACGTTCTGGTGGTTAGCTTGTGCGTTGTACGTAAGAGGTCCTGGTATGGTCTCCTTTCCAGGATTTTTTTGTGTATTCATACTTTCTACTTTGTAACGGCCTTCTCTCTGCAACAGACAGCTCATTCTGCCACGAAGAGTAGCCTTTGCACTTAATTGCATCTACATAATTGGCTCTCGGCTGTATTATATGGCTTATATGCCTGACTCCTCGAGCAGGCAAGATGAATTAATTCTTAAATTGTGCTTGGCGTGACCTTTGCAAGCTCATTTGAAATCCCTCTTGAGTTTTTCACAAGAACTTAATTGTTTTTGCACACCAAATCTTCCAGCAGTATGAACAGAAACGAAGATGCTACTATTTTGATGTGGCGTCATTTGCTTATTCAGTTTAATTTATCTGTCTCTTACGCAGGCGCGGTGAGATTTCTGAACAAATCTACAATTTCATTAATGGCGAATTCGTTCCACCCGAGGACGGAAGATTCGCTGACACATTGAATCCGAGCACGGGTGAAGCATTATGTAAATACCCGCTGTCCGGTGTGATGGATTTAGAAAAAGCTGTGGAGGCAGCAAGCTCTGCATTTAAACACTGGTCAAAAGTGTCTAAGGTAACTAACGGAAGAAAACCTAGAAGACTATGGTGGATAAGCCAGTAATCACGATGGCGTTAATTAGAAAATGAGGATAATACAACACCAGCTCATTTTTGGCAAACGATTGCTGCCTTGGATTTGAAAATAAAAAGCTGGGTTTGGAATGGGTGAAAAATGAGTGGCCCATGCAGGAAGTAGAATTGGGCTAATATCCATGTGCTCGCCTCTCCAAAAACGCCTGACTGACGGACAGGCTAGTAGCTAGGAAGCCTCCAGTCAGAACAACATGCATTTAGGAGTAAGGTCCCGCGATAAATAAATACATAAACATATGTCCGGATTGATGAAAACAGAACTAAATAAATCGCGTCCTGCTAAGCGTTTTTTTTTTTTTTTTTGTTTCTCGCGCAGAAGAGAAGTACATGGATGTTATCACCGTTGCCGTCAAGCGCTAACGAATGCTCGCTGTTTGCCGAAAAGCACTTTTTGTGCCAGAAAAGTTGCTNTTTTTTTTTTTTTTTTTTTTTTTTTTTTTTTTCCTCAAAGTAGACGATATGAATTAAAATTAAAAAGAATGTCAGTCTTTTAGTTCTTCCACTCTCTTTTCTTCCTTTTCTTGCTCCTCTCTCTCAAGTCCATATGGCTGTTTTGGTGCAAAGTATTGACACGGTTTTCATAAATCCAGTCATACATAAATATACGATATTCATTCTTTACTCTTTTCACTTCCTCTGATCGTAAATTGTTTTCAACTTAATAATCTTTTCATGCAAAACGACAGATGGAGAGAGCGGAAGTTTTAAATCACGTGGCTGAACTGCTGACAAAGAGATCGGAAGGATTCGTTCGCGCCGAGATCATGGACCAAGGACGAGCAATTCATGGCGTTAGCAAAGAAGACAATGAGATTGCAAGAGAAGTGCATAATATAAAACATTTTACTGCACAGGCCATTGCTACAAAGGAATCAGCAACGCGAACGAAAGGCAAGAAGTTTATTCTTAATAAAAAATAAACTATCGTAGAGACCGAAAACGCAGGCAGGCTACTCTTGCAGAGCTTCCGTTGAAAATTCGAGTTAATTTGGGAGATTTGGTTTACGACCTGCTAGTAGTCAGGTGCTATTTATAAGGAGTGGTGAATGCGAGACCTTCCGCGAAGCATATATCAGGTGTTTTTTGGTTTTGAGAGCCCGAGACGTTTGGACGTTTATTTAAACAAACAAACAAACAAACAAATCAGGAATTAGAACTTTTCTTAGCCTGGCAAAAAATCGAAATTGCGAGACACACCACCCTGCAGGGAGAATCTTTTCTTACGGTACTTATGCTTTGTAAAAAGAGATAACAGAGGCTCTTCTCGCAGGGTAGAGACGCAAATTATCGGTAAAAAGGCGAGACTGCGAGACCCACGCTTTTTGACGGACCATTCGCCACGCCTTTTATTAACTGAAAGTCATGAAGGAATGCAAACACGTTCAAATGTAAACAGTTTCACTGTAGTCATGGAACCTTTGAAATTTATCCGTTCATCACATTCCAGATTCTGTCAGCTATACATCTCGTTACCCACTTGGTGTAGTTGGAATAATTACTTCATGGGCTTCACCTCTTCACTCCATTTTGTGGCACGCGATCCCAGCGCTGGCCAGCGGTAACTGCGTAGTCATTAAACCGTCATGCTTGGCTCCCATTGAGGTCCATTTAATGGCCAAAACGTTCGGCGATGCAGGTAATACTAAGAATTCTACTCAAATACTAATACGTGATGATTGACAATTAAATAACATTTAATCTTCATCCCAAGTCTCTCCTGTCTCCTCCTTGACAAGGAATGAAACGAAAGACCGTAACTCGTAGGATCGAAGTCGATTAATAACGGTTTGAAGCCAAAAACGGCATGGAGGTCTTACAGCGTATGTGCATCAATTGGCGCGAAAAAATAAAAACAACAACAACAACAACAACTGACTATATAGGCAACATTTAAAACGAAAAAATGGACAAGTTTCCTTTGAGCGAATTGGAATAGAAATCAATAAAACCCCATTTGCTCCAATGAGAAGGGCATTACTGCATCGACTAGCCGTCTATATGTCTTAGGATTATGCACATCTATGACAAACGTAGGCAAAGAGGTGATGGAAGTATGGGTTATTGACCAAGCGTAAGGTCAGGACGGCTGGATATTGGCCAAGTTCTTTTCTTGCGTGTTTATGGACCGAGACGGAGTCGAGGTCCATAAACGCGCAAAAAAAGAACAAGGCCAATATCCAGCCATCTTGACCGAACAAGTTTGGTCAATAAAGTATTTATTATATGACTTTCGGGGAAATTTTTCTTGCGGGACACGGCAGGTAGTCCAATCACAGCGCCAATCACAGCGCAGGATTTGATTCATCTCTCCCGCTCACGGAGCTAGCTATATAATAATCTCAGTTATCAGCTAACTTGTAGTGACTTCTCATATACCAGATCACAGTTTCAGTTACAGCCGTGTCATTTCTACGATTATCATGATGAACTGTCAGCTGGACCCCTTCCAGACCCTCCCGTACGTTCGCCAATCGATTATGGCACTGAAATAAAGCAACCTTTTTTATTTTTCAAATCATTTTTATTCCAGGGATTCCAAAAGGTGTGGTAAATGTGGTGTACGGTAAAGGCGATGTTATTGGTAAAGCTATGGCTGAGCATCCAACCGTGAAAGCCATGGCATTGGTAGGATGATATTGACTATAACATGTATTTTAGTTGTTTTAGATCTAATTACAGTACAGAAAATACCTGTACATGGTTGTTCTTTATATACTGCCTATACCGTCTGTATTGGACAATAACTCGCGTTTTGGCATTTCGTCTAATTAGATGCGACGATAAAAATTGCCTTTTTTCTGTTGTGGTTTGACCTACTCTAGTCAGAATTCCACGTCAGTTTGAGCTTTGAGTCTCGATTTCCTCTCGGAATAACTGATTTCTAACTGATTTCTAACAACAACAGTTGAAATAACGCTTCAAAAATGATTCTCTGCATATATCATGTTAGTATATTCTATGAACACATACATGAAAAGATAAAAATAAAAATTGTGGAGCAGGTCTTCAATTTCACCTAAGGTACAAACTCACTCAAACCTAAGGAACGATTTCCACGCCAACGAAACGGAAACTGTTTTTTATAAGGTATTCTACGTAAACGCTCATTATTATATCTCTCAGTTGGTACGCGCTGTGATTAGTCAATTTAGCGGGTCGCATTCTACTGTACGGCCTGCTAAAATTTAAAGCTGTTTTTGTCGCCAAAATGTTTCGTGATTTAGCTTTTTTAGCAAGTAAAAGTTTAAAACTTTCTTTTACTTCTGAACTTGTGCGTTAAAACCCACTAACGACTTAAGAGTCACTTAACAACAATTTCAAATTGACTCGTTTTGCTTTCGAGGTACGACAGAAATTTGAAGCCGTTCCGCGTAAATAGAAATCGTTCCCGAACCTGTCAGACACACAGTAAACATATAATAAAAATCTTTCTAACCTCGTTTTCTCGGTCTGCACTGTAAGTTCCCCTTGCATTAATGGCCCGCGCGATTCGCGCTTGGGCCATAAATCGATGGGGAAAAAACTTACAGCACGCCCCTCGAACTCGAACGTAAGAGGTATGTATGTACAATCAACTTCTGTCGCTCAAACCTATAGCTAAGGAACGATTTCCACCCCAACAAACCTAAAACTGTTGTTGTAAGGTACCCTACATAAACGCTCAGTGGACACTTAACTTCTGTCAGTTCAATTGAGCCCGGCTATGAGAAAATTGTCCTTTCTGACAGCTTTGAGTAGAATGGCTCTTGATATCTTTACCGAATAATGATGTGGCCATTTACTATGTTTTTTTAGGCAGGGAGTGAAAAGACTGTATGCGCCATAATGAGAGCAAGTCAGCTACTTTATACAAAGAAGTTCACATTTAGCTTAGCAAATTGTCACCCGATGATTGTCTTCGATGATGCTAATCTAGACGAAGTTCTCCCTGTCGCCATCAAAGGAAGGTGCACTAATAAATACATACAGACGTTAGTGGTGGTTGAATGGCTTAAGGAAAGAAATAGCCGAGATCCCGACAGAGGAAACTTGTTTCAAACGGTTGTCAGGCATTGCACCTACAAGGAAAGAATTTCTAAAAAAACATCCTGTTATAAAATGCACGAAATGAGATAGTAAGAATTAAGCTTTTTCTGCCAAAGCAAGTGGTTTCGTTAACAGCTTGAACAGTATATCTTTTGTAAAATGTCCCTCCGAATATCAGAAAGACTTCCTAATCGAAGTTTTTTCCTCGGAAGGGGGAAAAATTGTGTAATTAATTGAATTTATAGAAGGCTGTACGACTAGTGTTTCTCTTTTTACCTTTGTATTCCAACAGTTTTCTTCATAGCGAGGGCCAAAACGTTCATTCCATCAATCGTATTTTCGTCCAAGTGTCCATACTTCAATCATTTAAAGAAAAATTCATCAGACTGGTACAGAGATTAAAAATTGGGAGTCCGCACGAGACCAACACACAGGTAAGCAAAGCACATGTCCAGTTTAATTAGGCCTTCACAATGTATTGCCCTTTTCGGCTAAGCTGTCCACTTCATCAAGTTTTGCCAGACCATCCGATCAACTTGACTTCTCAGTGCCACAAGAATGGTGTTTTGAAGAGCAAAGCAGTTTGGTTACCTTGTGCTGGTCATAATCTTAGTAACATTGATGAAGGGTGGAAAAAATGGTGGAAAATACCCCTTCAATTTAATTCCATTGAGGGAATACAGCTTTCGGCTTATCAGCTCTGACACTACAATATTCAAGATGGCGGTCAACAAAACACACGTACCAAAACAAGGCGCGCATAATTATCAAGAGCGCGAAAATAAAGTGCATATATCTTAAACGGCCTTTAAAAGACCTTGGTCAGCCTACGCCATTTTCGATGCCATCGAAGTTATTGATATTGCATGGTGAGGCAAAATCCTATTGCTTTACTGTAAGTTGTGTTCTTTAAATTATGTTTGCACAGTGATTTTATTCGTTTCGACATGCTTCGAATAAAATATAGTAGCTTAACTCTCGTATGTAAACAAAAACAAAGGTGTGGCTGAGTAGGGCCCTTTAAGGGAGCCGTGAGACTCGTGGGGACTGACTCAGTAATAACAAGGGTGGATTTCATTTCATTTGAAGTCATTTGGCTTTAATGCATTAACAAAATTAAGCTATCGAAGGTCGATCTCTGAGTAGAAGTTCCAGCTGCCTAAATACGGCGAAAAAGCCCCAGATCTAGGTAAACTTCATGGCTTTGGTTCTTTTATAACCTTAGGTTGGTCCTTTGATAAGCAAGGAGCACCGCCAAAAAATGGTAGGGTTTATCCAAGGCGCAGTAAATGATGGGGCGGAAATTTTGTGCGGCGGAAAAATTCCGAAACTTGACAGCAAGTTGGACAAAGGTTACTTCCTGGAGCCTACGGTACTTGGAGGTCAGCATTATTGAATGTAATATTAGTCCTTTCTCCTGAATAGAGGAAGCGATTTCAGGTATTAGAACCAACAGTTTAAGAACAAGCCCTATTTTGTTACCGGGTTTCTACTGTAGTAAACATATTTCTAGCCTCTGTACATCCTACCACCACCTACTCAATGCCAAAAGAAACACCACAATATCCTACTACATACGTTTAAAAAATCTACTAGATGAGGTGCATCAATTTCGTCTTTCCTTCCTTGATTGTTTAGGTTTTCAGTGCTCTACTGTCAACACCATTAACACATTGGAAGTTCAAGGACCAGTGGTAAATATCAGATTTAATTTTATTGGTTAAGGGAGTTATAAGATGAAGTCAAGCTACTGTATCCAAAAACAGTTATTAATTTTCATTCGCAATAATGGACAATACTGAGTAGGTTATTCAACGATAACTTTCCTAAATTTGGAAATAATTGACGCACCAACGTACCGCCCCACCGCCCTCTACGTTTAAACCAACTGAACTTTATTTAATCAATCTTTTTATCAGCAAATATTCTTGAGTAGAACGTATCTATTTATCTCTCCCCTCCCTAGGTACGAATAATACCATTTCGTACTGCAAACGAGGCTATAGAAGGAGCCAATGGAACAATGTACGGATTGTCTGCCTCGATCTGGTGTAAAGATGTTAGTTTGGCTCATAGCATTGCGGACCAGGTGAATGCGGGGTGAGGCAATTCAAATTTAACTTAAATTACGTAACTTATTTTAAAGTCAAATTTGAACAATATTTTGAGCATTCGAATGGATGTTTAGAGCTTACGAAAATGATTATGTGGTTGTGACTGTCACAGTGGTTTTGAATTTTCATATGCTCGCTTAGCAAGAGCGTTGTGGGGGAGGGGGTGGATTTGGGGGGTTTAAAGGGGTTGGAGTTATAAACTGGGATAGAGTGAGAACCCATCTCAGTATATTTCAATCATTTTATCAGTAGGTAATTAGATAATTAGATAATTAATTAGCTACCCGACCCCTCAAGCATGTAGTGCTTAAACGATAATCATGTTTTAAATAAAGGATTTTACTTTACTTTACTTTACTTTACTTTACTTTACTTTACTTTACTTTACTTTACTTTACTTTACTTTACTTTACTTTACTTTACTTTACTTTACGTGAACTGGAATAACACTTAGTTATTTCAGTCGCGATAAACTCATCCTGCAGTAACCATCGGTAAGGGATTGATTATTTTTGTGCCCTTTCTGTACAATACTTAGTTTAATTTTATAGAATGATTCATTCTGGGAGAATGAAGCCCTGCAGGTAGGAAATGAAATAACTCGCAGTTATAATCTTTGACTTGCAAACTGGACTCATAGTACCAAACAAATCCTATCCCATGGTATAAGACAGTGTTAAAAATTAAAGAAGTCCGATACGGAGATGCTATTTTCATAACTGATCAAAAGTTTATTCCTAATAGTATAAGCGTTGCAGTAACCAATCCCCATGTTTCCTATATAAGAACGTCTGTCCAAAGAACTCAGCAGGCTGCTTCAGTATGCTACAGTAAACTGTTTCATAGAGAAGTGAGTTCTTTCCCCTTTTCTTGTTAGCTCCGTGTGGATAAACAGTTGGCTACCAAACGAACCCAGCATGCCTCGCGAGGGCTGGAAGAACAGTGGACTCGGGCGAACAGGCGGAGTTTACTCAATGGACTTCTACACTGAAATCAAATCAATAAGCATTAAATTCTGACTCGTTCTGTATGGTGCTTTTCTCGATCTGTAGTCACAATTCTTCAGTGAATTTCGTGTATAAACCGTTACTTCTGGAAGCAGAAATCTTGGAATCGGAGACATGACGTACACTACAGGTCGATGTTTTTCGTAACGAAAGCCTTCAGTTGTTGTTAACTTCCGTTTCAATAAACATTAATTTATTAAATATCAGCTAGTTTTACTTTTTGTCAAGATTACGTAAGCTGGGGAAACTGTCATACCCATTTTATTCAATACTCACGTAAAATTAAGCGAACACTTAACTATTGAATAATGATTAAATTATTTGTATTAAACGAAGGTTGTATCTTTTTTGTTTGTTTTCTCTCGTGAAAGAAAAAAAAACCGGAGAGACACAAGGAGGAAGACTCCCTTTTTTGCCACTATAAATTTAATGATTTTTGAGTAAGCAAAGTTTAAAATCATAAATCAGCTTGGACACTTTTGCAGCCTCCTTCAAGCAGGCTTAATATGGCTAATATGTTTGTTTTAATCTTGATGTTACTTTATTTGGTTGTGGTGTTATACACAACAGAAACGTTATCATTTTAGTCTCTTTAGTGCACAGAAAGTTGTAACAGCCCTTTTCACGGTTAGTTTATCTCATTTGCATTACAATATAATTCAACGTGGATGTGAGGCAATCTCGGGCAGAAACTACAAAATTGCCTGGAATTGCCTCACATACATGTTGGATTATTTTGTAATGCAGATAAGAAACGTTCACCGTGAAAAGTGCTATTGTGCCTAACAAGCGCTCAGAAAACTGTAAATTCCAGGAAGCTGATGCTTCCTAGTTTACCTGCAAGGAATTGTATGATTTTTCCCAGTCAATACTTCTGTTAGTTAAGTAAAAAAAAAAAACTGATATATAATCAAAACACCGTTTAGAAAATGTACTTTTCCAAGGATCAAATCTGCTTTGAGACAGGTCTTCAGTCTTGAAAAGCTTGTCTCCGCGATGCTTCCGCAGAAATATTTCTAGTTAAGTCAAGTGTTATCGATTCTGAATACAAATGCACTCTACTAGCAGGATGTTGATGTCAAAAGTCACATTTTTTAATTCCTTGGTCGTCAACGTTGTTGTCCAAACACAAATTAAAAACAAATTTTGGTATCCGCAATGGCGTCTTATAATCCACTGCAATTTTCAGAAAATATGAGAGAACTTGTATTGTGATAATTTGAAATGAGCTAAATAATGCATGAACCATGTTCATAAGTGAAAATATGACAGCTGAAAGTGGTCAAAATTGATTGGCAAACGGATGCGATTGCCAAAAATTGAAGGTGGGATTTTTTATCATTAATATTTGCTAAGTACATTTGTTTTGGCTTATAGCTACAGTTTTCAGAGATTTTTTACTATTTGGTTTCTAGGGAGTACTTCAAATTTCGTTTGGAACATTTCTTATGTTTTCCAATTAAATGTTTGTGTGTGGCCTTTTTGTAATGCAAATGCTAAACATTATGAACATGTTGTTGGAATAATTAAAAGTTCATGATGTTAATTATTTTATGATGTTTATTTGAGCCTCCAGATGTATGTATTTTTTCATAAGTTGCAATCTGAAAATTCTCTTCGACTATTGGTTAAAGGTTCATAACGTTTATTAGAGTGCTTCCCAACTCCTTTGGGTTAATTTATTGGGTGGGCGTTTTGTTTGCCAAGCTCAGAGCTTAAAGAAAACACTGAACATCGGACCTAACCTGGCACAATGGAGGGTCAGGTATCGATTAGAACAGCTTGGCAAGTGAAACGTATGTGTCAAATAAAACTGCCTTTCACACCATAGGTGTGCATTGACGGCGCTCCTGGGAAAAACAAAGTAATCAATGTGTACAGAAAAAGCCACTTTGTTAAGCCAATATTTCTGCTCGTAGCAGCATCCATATTTTGTGTCCATTATTTAGCAGGTGTTTCTACACCTAACGAGAAATAATGGTCAGAAAAAAATATATATATATAGTTACTGTTAGCACGCGATGAGTTTTACTTTCCGCCAGCAAATTTCAGTTTCAGATGTGGAAAAAGCAGCTTTGTGACAAATAGCCGTTGTGCATGTACTTGTGTCAAAACGTCAAGGGCAACAATCCAACTTCATTTATTGGAAAGATAACTTGTCGCAAGGTTTATTAATTTTATTTTAGAAATTGGCGGCGAAATATATTGCTGTTCATTAAATATCTCGCTATTGGAAAGAGCTGTATGTCTGAAGGTTAAACGGCATGTTCGTTTTGCACAAGAAACAAATTAAATTACGAAGTGATAACCTCAGTTTGTCGTGGAGAGGAACAAACGTCAAGGCATAATTTAATATTCTGGACTGAAGTGGAGCAGGTTTCAATCGTCGGTCGGTCTTCTCGATGTAATGTCCATGTTCGCAAAACAGAACTAGCAAAAAACGGTAAGTTTGTTGTTTTATTTGTGTTTACGTCGTTGAAACCTGGGTTACACTGTTTTACCACAACATTGGGACCATTTGAAAGCGCGTGCCATTTTGCCGTCAAATTATTAGTCTCTTAGCTTATGCACGGCTAAAAGCAATTTTGCTGCGTTATGAGCCTGAATATATTTTATGTTGCTTTGTTTTTTTCAGTTTTATTAACAGCGTACTCAAGCACCGTTCTGTTTTCAAAACATATCCATAAAGCAACAGCTTTACTTTCGCTATAGGCTAATTCCTATTTTCAAAAAACTATCAATACAACATCGTTTTTTAAAAGATAAAACTTGTATCTATTTAGCCGAAAATTCAGATAAATTAGGAAAGAAAATTGTAAAACACTTCTACCATATCTGCTTTGGTACAGTTTTCATGGTTTATGAATATTAAATTTAGCCAAAGTTCACCGTGCAGTTTTTAAATAGAACTTTTGTCATCAAAGAAACTAAAACAATGACGGAAATGGTGCTCCTTCAAAATCATCTCGGAAATTGTTCTACGTTTCCATGGCACAAATCTTGATTCTTGGGTATTTTCGCTTTTTTTTTAGTGTCTGGTTTGAAAGAAATAGCAAATTTAGCCTCTCAATGTATTGTTTTCGGCAAAAAGATAATTATTAGAGCTTTATCACTATGGTTTAATTTTAACCACTGTGGCGTATTAGGGGCGAAACACTATCACCTTGATCTTGAGCAAATATTGCTACGTTAACTTTTTTACATATCGCTCAGATATTCCGGCGAAAAAATTGATAGTGCTAATGATAAAGACCGCTCTGAAATGAGGAACTTGGAGGCATCTCTCCTTCTCCCCAGACCATTTTTGCAGCTCACTAGCTAACAGTAGCTCGGACGAGCCAAAATAATTTTTGCATAGAAGCTAGAAATTATGATCTCGCTCAAAATTTTTCCAGCGAAATTAATTACGTTAGTCACGAAGAGAAAACTCTTCTTTTTTCTTCCTTAGCATAAGGATTAGAAATAGTTTTAGTATTTCTTCGTCTTAACCCTTGGACTTACAAGCAAATTTGTAACCCATCGTTTTAGAAAGGACAGGGTGGATAGTGCCCACCACTAGGTTCTAGTTCTAATAAGACATGTTTAAACTTATTTTGCACTTGGTAGATAGGGATAACCTCTCAACTTCCTTCTCTGGAGGGGTATCTTTCTTTTTTTTTTTCCCCTTCTTTTTAGTTTTTAATTAATTGTATATATAGTTTGCTTCCGGAATAAATAAAATTTGTATGTAGATAGCCCTCAACTTTCTCTAGAAGATATGATGACATGTTTATTTTTCTTGGTAACGACGACATAGCCTCCGGCATCTTTAGTTTCACGACTTCCCCCAGGAAGTACTAGTCGAAAGATAAAGTAAACTGATAAACGATTATAATCAAAATGATAATTGAAAGTGCAACGATGCACAAGAAAAGAAGAAGAAACGTAGCACTTTGTCAGCATTTCGTTTGACTGGTTTGAAATATCGAGGAAGCCATTGACATTTATGACACGGATGGACCGAAGCCATACTTTTAATGTTTGTCCCTAAGGATTCCGGGAGACACTCGGAAACCACATCATGTAACAGCTAAAATTTCTGCGAAGGATGAATGAACAGCTACTGAACGTTTCAGTATCACAGAATAAATATTACATTCAAATTAACGAAACCAACTTAACGGAGGAAGTGGCAGTGAACTACGCCCCTTGTACTCCCGAGGGCTGCAAGGGTTCTCTGAAATGCCAGTCACTTCTGTTATTACCGTTCTTAATAAAATGGTAAAAATTTGGATTTGAATAAAGTCTTTCACTGACAGAATTATACTTAGCTGATCGCGTGACTACTGGATCTTGTTTTTGACAATCACTCGCGAATAATATATTTTTAAATACCTTGGTTTCATTTTAATCTTGTCAATGGTTTTGACAGTTTTCAGTGAAACCTTCAATAAAGCGGAAAGAAACGGTCACTCTTGTAACAGGTATTGCTGATTACTAAGAAAAAAAAATAATGTGACTTCCCGATGTTATCGTAACTGGCCGATTTGCTAACATAAAAGTTAAAACATTTTGAGATGGACAAAAAGAAAGGAATTGGGTCCTGAATTTTCTTGAGAAGCCATTCGGATTTTGCGACTGTTCCGCCAAAAATATCCGTGGTACTGAATACGGTGCTTTATTCAAAAAGACCCGGATATGTTGTTGAAAATCAAATAGGACAGTAATTAATTTACCAGAAATTCGTTTGAGTAATTCAGAGTTAATCAATTTAACATGTAACTTACTCGTTTCTCCAGTTGCTACTCTCTCTTATCAAGAGACGACAACAACCAGAGCTCGCATTACAAATAAGCACCCGGAACCTCTTTAAGTTCACAGTTTGCTGAAAATTTTATCATTACACAAGGACCCTTTTATGAAAACATTGATGCTAAGATTAACCATAATGTCAAGAACAACCTAAAAACATATCTCAGGCTGAGAGTCAGTTACGAACGTTTTTATTTTGCTTATTTGTTTTTTTTAATGATTAGTATAAATAAAGGTAACCTAAAATTTAATCGCAAAGTGGCTGTCAGCCACTGAACTTCGAAAATAAATCATGAACAGGTGTACTGAGGCAATGCTTTTTAAGGAACTACTTGTAATGTGAGGGCAGTCTAGCTTTCGAGCAAGCGAATAAAGCCTTTTTCCATTCAAGAGTGTGTTGTGATATTTGTAAAATGAAACAGTTCAATGTTACGAGACTATTTGTTACTCAGACCTGTCTACAAGGCGTTTACATTACATGCATCTCTTCATGTCTTCTTAGTGCTGTAGTCAAAAACGGCAAGATAATTTTGTTTGGTTAAAAGTGATGTATAGACTGGGAGTAATGTCCAGTGCTTGCTTATAGCCAGCTCTCAGCTGGCTTAAGATTGTTAGATGTAAGCATGGATTTCGTTCTTTGGTAAAATTCGAGAAAATCCTTTGTTTTAAATAATTATTTATTGATATATTTTTTAAATAGATTGAACTAGAAAGTTGACCAAAAAGTGAAGATAAAAAGTGCTTTTATTGGAAGCGTAGTTTTTTTGCACCAAATCCACTGAACTATTTACTGATTAAGGTAACAGTCTTTTAGATATGCAGATTATGCAGTTTTAATTTTGCTAAGTTATCAACTCAATGATGCTGTTACGTACAGCAGCAGGGTATATACTTCAAAGTTCAGTGTGATAACACTAAAATGTAAGAATGAAAATTTAACAGGCTGAAGGTGGAACACAATATTAGGATACACAGCTCATAAATGAAGTTTAAATTGCATAGATTTCTGCAAAGTGATATATGAAACAGTATAATCCATTTCAGTCAGCTTTAAAGTAGTTTGTATATTGTACATTGAAATTTTGTGTCCCTTATAGTGTTGAGTTCAAATACTTACATTCGCTTGTAGCCCAAATATAAGGACTGAAGTTAACTCTCTTTCCATAAATTATGCGAGTCCGTTCGTAGTTTGTGTCCAAACGTAGTCGTTCGGCGAAATTAGTATATCGAGCTGTGAGTCCGTTAAACGAAACCACTTCTTAATAGATCCACGAATGAGAAACATTGCCATCAAAACAATTCAGCTTGTGAGTAAATCGTATCACCTCCACTTGAACAAGCTCGACAACGCCTAAACCAGCCACCCACAATTTCAAGTTCGGCACGTAACTGTCCACAAGACACTCGAAACTCACTTGAGCCTGATGTGCTAACTACCCAGTCTTTCGGTACCTAGATATATAGTTAATATTTTCACCATTTTCACCTTCAAACATCTTAAAGAAGCACAATGTGTTAAGCGCTGGCTTAAAATGTGGGACTACGGCAGTTCGAATCGAAGTAGTGACTTTAAATTCTTTTTCCTTTTCTTTTTCATTGTTTTTTTTTTCTAGTGAAGCTCGAGCAACGCCTACATTAGCCTCCTTTAGGAGTTAAATTCAAATTTTCCGACGAAAATTCCTGACCTTCTCATATGGTAGGTTCCCCCCACCTCCACCTCTGTTTCCTAATGTCTAACAGGAAGTGACCCAGTGAAGGAGTGATGGAGTAACTCACTACAACTTGGAAAATAATATTTTCAAGTTAAAAATGTGGTCTAACAGGACGATTTAACCCAAATACTTAGTACCATTTTTTTTGACATTAGTTTACGTTATGTGATTTTCTCATTGCCTGATACTAACACAGAAGATAGGATTACTGGTCACGTCCGTATTGATATATGATATTTAACAAATTGTCAAATTGTCCGCTCTCACTCGCTGACGTATTGCGTATTAAATTATAAATTCATTTGTTTGTCCGCTTGTTGGCAATAAAAATTAGCCAGTGAGCGCGCGAGAATTTCTGCAGTTATCGTAAAAATTGAAATACTATACCATGTGACATTTCAAGCTCAAATCGCAAAAAAATAAGAATGTTTAGCTCAACTCAAAAATTAATCGTAAAAAAGAGTGTATCCATCCTTTGTTTCAGTTTAATCCTTCATTCATGTCACTGGGTGGATTTACAAGAATCCAAATGTAAATGTAAATCCTAACTGGTTTGGTCCGACAAATGCTAATTACCCATAGTTGTCAGAATTATAGAACAAGGCATATGTCATTTTCTATTGAAAACGACAGCAGTTGTATCAACGCTTAGTAATCAACACCTCTCTTCCAAAAATGTTCACTTTGGGCTCATTTCGAAAACAAAATTAGCGGTCATTTGTTCCAAAAATAGGTTTTCTTTGGACAAAGAGCCAAAGGCGAAGGGCCAAGCTACTAAAAACTGAAGCTAACAAAGGTAACATCGAGTAATTTAACGTTAATGTTGTATTTTGACTGAAATATGTGCATTTGAAAACGAAAACAACCAGCTGCAGATGCTCTTCTCTTGTCGCCACCATTGAGCAGTACTTTTTATTTATGTGATGAGGTTTTCATATTATTCTGCACAAGGAAATTTTACTTTTTACTTCTGTGAATGAGCTGTATGAATGTTTTTGTTTTCGTGTTTTCTTTGAAAAACGACAGCTGTTTTCCTTTAAGCTTGTTTAAAGGGTTATTTTTTTAAGCTATTTGGCAGTGTCTTGCGCACCTACTAAGACAAGACACTGTTTCGACATAATGACGTTTTGCTCGGTTAGAATAACAATTTGACGTAAAATTAAAAATCAACATGAGCTCGCGCATTCTGGAAACAGAGATCTTTTTCCAGGTGTTTTCATGACAATTGAGACGTTGTTACCCACGGCCAATGGCAAGGTAGAAATAACTGAATCTTGCCGTGATATTAGCCGTCCGTCGAGCTCTAAATTGGCGATCACTCTGCGTTGTGTCTACATACGCGTAAGTTGCATTTCCATTTCCTCTCATATTTTGTTCATCATGTTACAGCTGCGCCTACAGGTAGAAAATCACGCGGAAAAAAACACTTCTTACGGTAACACTGTATAATAACTCAATAGCTAGAGTTATTACTAGAAAGGGAAAAATTTTACCCAGTCACGTTCACATTTCGCTCTTGAAACAGAAACAAAAAAACAAAAATTGTGGCAAGAACCAAAGGTGCGTTAACGATTAATGGACGAATTTAGAACTTGTATTCTTGACTATTTTGTGGCCACGGGCAATGATCTAGAAGTTGTTTATTAGTTTCAAAAAAGGTAAAAAATACTCTGACCACTACTGCAATATGTTTGGTGGTACCATAGCACTGTAATTGTGAAAATGATAAAGTATGCTCAGATGTACACATTAACATTATTTAGTCGCGAAGTGCTTCTTTAAGAGAGAGGCTCGTCCAGGATTAGACTGAGGATTTGTTTAACTAACTATTAAATTAAATATAGAGACGGTGCAAATATGAACTACCGCAGGAAAGCAACGCACTTAATGATATACCCCAAAATACTCAAAGAAGTTAATTTTTCGTTGTTGAATATTCCATTTTAACTTGGTGTCAGATCCAACTTCAGTGCTTTCAGATGTTGTCAGAGCTCTGACTACAACCGTCTTCAAATCATGTTTTGAAGATAAGTCGCACTTTGTTTTATAACGTATACACGCGAATAGATATCGCAAAGCGCGTAAACGAAAAAGTAGATCCAACTGCTAATATATCAATAATAAATCGCTCGTGTAAAACGCCACCTGAACTCGAAATTAGTTAGTTAGCTTTGGTCTCCATAAAATTCAACTAGCACTGAGCCAATAATCAATATGATGCGTTTGTCCAAGCGACAAATTCAAAACCTACCTTGTTAAAATTTGGTACGCTTCAAAGTCCAGGCCAAGTCAACACGAAATAACAAAACGAAGAAATAGTGCAATCGACAATGCCTATTTTTTTCAATTTTTGTTACTAGATCAAGAATCTTGCGTTGGTGGTGACTGATGAACGTTCGTATGGGTGGGTGTATCGTTTCAAAACTCTTTTACCATAACATTTCGTTCGAAACAAGTCAAAAAGCTTAATTTTGAACATAACTCACATTCAGAATATGGACTAAACGACCAAAACCAATTTTCTCACAACTTCACCAGTGAGGGAAGAAATATAAATTGTTTTCATTGTAGAACCTTGCAAGTGTTTTGGAATCGTTGATACCTGTGACATTTGGAGAGAGTGCTGAATTGATTTGTCTTGTAATTGTAGCAGAGAAGACTTTGGCTTCCTGATTGTTTTGAATTTTTTTTCCTATAGATTGTCTTTGTTAGAAGTTTTACTAATGAATAGATCGTTTTGCAATTGATTGTCGCTGTTGACAAGTTAAGCAATACGAATATTGATCGTTTCGACTTGTCTCAAACGTTGCGTTATCGCATACGTCAAACACTATGCGCTAGAATAAACTCGAGATGCATTACATTAGGCCAGTGCATTAAATAACAGCTAAAAATTGCCTGTAAGAAAGACTGGGCCTTACAAAATTCAAGCTCCTCAGAAAATTATAAAGCTTTAGCAGCCACGAAGGTGATAGTGAAGTAAACGTCGATCAAAAGTTCGAAAAAGTACATTCATGTTTATTAAAGAACTCACGGTAGTTTTCTTAATCTGTCTTCGATGTGTCCATCAGAGTCAGATCATCCCTCCAGCTGCATGATGTTAAAGTAGCTTCTAATTCTAAATGGTGTCATGAAAGATTCACTGTCGTGTTTAAGGCTGTCCAAAATACTATGAATTGGTATAAGTTTACTGTTGTTTTATCAAAGGACGACAAAAAAGCGTCCCAAGGTGTACAACGCACGTGCAGAGAAATTATCACACTCGGTTGAATGTTTCAAACTCCGTTTCTACGTCTCGTCATCTGTAGACGGAACAAAATTGGCTCGAATCCTTGGGTACGGTTTCAAAATTTTGCCAGGATTTCATGACACTTTTAATAGCTGCCATTATTTTAATGTGTTCACTGATTTTTCATGTTTTCTGACACATTGTAGCCATAGACACTATTTAACGTGCAGGTTAAGTTAAATTTTAAGTTGTTTTGGCCAAAAAATTTGGTTTTAATCAAAACCTTTATACATCCCATTATCATTTAGGTTGTTATTTCCATCAAATTACGTTATTTCCGACTTCTTGGAAAATAGAAAAAATAATTCATTTTATTTTATTTTAGTACGAGATCTAGAATCTTGAGTTAGAATTATCGGATGATGACGATCTTAATATCATCACGTGACGTTATATGGCGTCATAATCAACGAAATCATCATACCCTGTAAGGCAAACGGAGGGCTAAATATTTTTGAAATTGTCCTACCAGAACGGAAATCGTCAATTGGGAGCAACGTAAATCCACCACCTTCCCCACCTACCTCCTTCTACTACGGTGAAGGTATCAGTCTGCTTTTACATTAATTTTTTAATATCTACCGAAGCTTTACTTGTATTCTTAGATTGTCATTGTTCTCGTCCACACATCATCTCCGACATGCATAAGAAGATCTGGACATTCAACCTCACTGGGTTAAGAATAATCTATTTTCTCTTCTCTGAAGGACTAGCTAAGTAGTCACGCTTCATGGAATTCACGTCACTAACAGCCAAGTTGTCAAGATAATGAGAATGTTAAACCTCTCCCTGTGGCTGCTGCTCTCTAATTCGCTGATGAGTCAGTGGGTGTCTGGCACAGAAGACTTGTACATTGGAACCTTCTATGCCGTCAATGTCTCGTCCAAAGGCTGGAGTTCCAAGGGAGTCATGCCAGCAGTCCAGATGGCGTTAGATCACGTGAACAAAAATCAATCCATTCTACCGGGGTACAAGTTACACGAGGACTCGAGGGATTCCAAGGTAAGCAGAAGATATCGCGAGTTAAAGAAGTTTGAGTCACATGTTTTGTTACCTTAACGAACAGAAAAACTTTCAAATTGAAGGAAATATGACAAATAATACTTTACTACACTAAAATGTTTCCTTTAATAAAATCAAGTTTGAATGTTAAGGACTTGGATGTCAAATCAATTAGCTGGTACTTTATCCAACTTCTCTCTAGTTATTGAAAACGTTTACATCGCTATACTACTTCATCTACCCAAGTTGCTTCTTGACAATGTCATCGATTCGAGGTTCCAAATTGCCTTAGTCAGTCAGGCTGGCCTAACAAAATTGAACCCTGATATTTCGTTTAGGTTAGAAATAAATAATTATAAGGGGTTTTTTTTTTTACATATTTTTAGTGTGACAGTGGTGCCGCTATCAGAGCAATGCTGGATCTAGTGTCCAGGCCACCAACGAAAATCATGTTCACAGCACCAGGCTGCTCTCCAGCTGCAGAACCGATCGCGGAAGCCGCTCCATTTTGGGGAGCGGTGCAGGTAGCAAATGACCTTACATGATCTTTTATCTAGAAATACTTGCCTCGTACTTTTCTATGAATATGATTTCTTAAGATGGTGTTTTTTTTCCCTTTTGTAATATATCACTGATCTTCCAATGAACATTATAGCAGCATTTATTTGACCCAAATAAATAATTGCTTTAAATCGCTAAGGTTGGCTAACCAGTCTTATTAGCCCATTAAGGTTATTTCGGGCAGCCATGCGCTCTTTTTATTTTAAACTTATTTTTGTTAAGTTTCTAGCTGAATGAATGAGTACAAATAAAGTTGTTGTTGTTGTTGTCATTCCTGATCTGGCATGTGGCTAGTTTAATTTCCTGAATTCGCGCAGAACATAGGTGTTCTACTTTGTATTTTCTTTTCTTTCAACACCCTCGTGGATTAAAGGAATAAACCCTGCTGACTATGATTTATGGTGCTGGAAACAGCAATGCGGCTCCGACAAAAATACTAAAGGTGCAATGTTCATTTATATTCATAGCAAGACTCAGTGAAACGATAGAAAACGTGTAATCTTATACCCCGTTCACACCAACATGTTCGACGTGTTTAAAAGTGGTTTAGCTAAACAAGGTTAAAAATTAGCTGCTCATATCGTGCACACCCCACAACTTAACCAGGCAAAAACCTGTTTGATTAAAACATGGTAGCAAGGTGGTTTGGAAAAACCTAAACCTGATTTAGTTAAACCAGTTTAGTTGCTGTGAATGGGGTATTAGTTACTTACAAGGCTTGTTTTGTTTTCTTAATCAAAATTTAGGTTGGCTACAGTAACACGTCGCCTTTGCTTTCAAAAGACTCTCGATTTCCGCTATATTCTCGCACCAGTCCATCCGAGACTCTAAATAACTATGCTATAGTGAACTTACTGAAAAAGTTCAACTGGAAACGAGTTGCGATTCTCGTACAACAGGATCACATTTTTACCAAGGTAAATTCTATTTGCATTTTTTTCCTCGGAAAACTTTTTTTGCCTATCGAGAAACTTCTCAAACTCATTAATAAAGAAATAAAGGAAATTGTTACCGTGACGGTGTTTGGATATCTTCTCTTTATCATTCAGTACAGATTTTTACGATTTTATTTCTCCATTTTCGCCATAGTTTTATTTTCTTTTGAGAAGATACATCAAGGACTCAAAAGAGTGTTTGACCACATTTCCGAATACCTCGAAAATTGGTCAAAAATACTCCGCTGCGCGTCGTATTTTCAACCCTCTTCTCGGTATTTGAAAATGTGGTCGAACACGCTATTTCGTGCTTGATATATTACTTCTAAACTAGTATGCTACACTTTATTTCCACATACATTCATTTTCCACTCAGAACACACATAATTGTTGGACTAACTGGCAAATGCTGCTGTATCCTGAAACGGAGGAAATTTAATCCTGATCCAGCGACACTAGCAATAAGGAGAGGCTGGGTGGGGGTGCTGTAGTATTAGTCATCAGTTACAATTTCCGCCCTGACGCCATTGCTCAGCTGCCGGTTAAATTTTGACCAATGGTGAATTTTGAACCAAAGTAGTGTTAAAGAAGAGCAACCATACATTTGTAGTTTGGCTATTAACAAGCCTGGATTTACCAAGGCCTTGCGTAGATCTAAGAAAATCGCACCCGTGCATAAGCCTTTGTCATGAGATTATATGAGCGGAGATACAGCATTAAATGAGTAGTACACATGTGTGTACTTGCTAGTAGCTTCAGGAAATAACTGGAAGAACAGGAAATGTGTTTCTTATTTTAATTTTTTTTTATCTTTAGACTAAAGAGAACCTCGTCACTTTACTGAAACGTAATAAAATCACAATAGTGTTTATTGACAGTTTTGATGAACAGCACTTCCACACAGTCAGTCACATTAAGGTATGTTACAGTGCTACGCGCCTTACCGTTGCCACCCGTTGCCATCAGGCATAAGAGGCGGTAAATTTATATCTGTTTACAACTTCTCAGTTTATATTTTAATAGCTTGCTTCGTCTGGAAACAAGCGAGTTTTGAATTTAGAGGTATGGCGCTGCGTGACATAAAGCTATGATCGCGTTTGTCGAAAAATACATACTTATCTCGCGATTTTTACCCTTTTTAGACGTTAACACATTAGGAAAAGTGCTTATTTAAATGCTTACTTGTTCAGTTCAGATAATCAGTTGCCAGATATCCAAAGTAAGTTCTAGATGTTTACACTATTTTCCGGCCGCGATGGTGGTGTACAACGGAGGTACACCAACATGGCGGCTCTGTAAATTTGTGTAAAATATTTCGACGAATATCCGACGTTTTGGAGAACGCAGAGACCTAAAACTAGGACATGTGTCTTCTTTTTTTATTCCCTATAACATAACAATTTCTTGACTTTATCCACTGAATGGATCTCGAATTATATTTTTATTGCGTGACAGTGCAAACGAAGAATTAGTTTTTGACGAGTTTTTGACAGGTTTTTGACAGCTTCTGATAGCTTCCGTTTCACATGCTAATCAAGCTGCGGCAACTATCCGCTGGTTTTAAGCGTTCGCAGGTTAAGACTTTCAAAGTTCCCACAAAAGTGAATGATGAATTTGACAATTGAACATCTCCACCCTGGGCAGTTCCCTAATAGAGTCCAGCGAAAGGTTGTCAAAAAGACGTCAACATTTAAAACAAAATCTTCCTCAAGTGGCAAGGTCTGACGGTGTTAGCTAACCTGAGTCAAGTCTCCTAAATATCTACAGCTGTTTTAATTAAAGAGGTTTGATAAACAGTAAAGCTTTGCTTAATACTCTCATAAAATCAAGGTGGCTATTTGCCGATTCGTAGTAATTCTATATCGCAATCTCTGTAATTCTAATTTATTATACTGCGATCAGGTTGTTATAAGTTAATCGGGGGTATTGTGATTTCTTACAGAGCAAAGATGTCAGAATAATCATTGGTCTGATGTATGAAGATCAGTTCCGAAAAATCTCATGTCAGGTACATGTAATATTAGATAATCACTGCATATATTTTGCCTCACTAGTAGCACACCAGTGCACACCAACCAAGCCACTGACAGCTTTAAACCAAATTTTAAAAGGCAAGTGCATCTGATATAGAGTGATTTTAAGTTAACCTGTGAAACACATCTAAAATATTAGTCCAACATAGCCAAAACTATAACAAAAGAAAACCATGAAAGTAGTGGTTAATAGTACCTAGTTGTGTAACAACTTTTTACGGGGGTTAGGTAAAATCACTCTGCTGCATGCGCACTACCTAAGAAACATTTGTCTGCTTACGTTGCACTTCAAAATGAAATCATAAAACCGTTGCCTGATCACAGGACCTGAACTCGACCAACGCACTGATGAACATTTCTCAAGGTACTAAGTAGTTTCTTACTTTTATTACTTTAATTTATGGCCGATTGATATTCCCTCTATGAGACTTTGCCTGCAGGAATTCAAGGTAGTTGTACTGATCATCGAGAACTGGATAATTGTCTTGATGAATATAACTACCATGATTCCCTGCAGGCGCGTCTCATGGTGGGAATAGACCATTTTGCAGTTGTCTGCTCAGTGACTGGCCTTTGGATGGCAGTGAGGCTGGAGTTGACCTTGTTTTGATACAGACCTCACTGCTTTTGTCATGTAAATACACCTGGTTAGCATCAGAACAACTTGTTTTACACAGCAAAAGCAGTGAGGCCTGTATCAAAACAAGGTCAACTCCAGCCTCGCTACCATCCAAAGGCCAGGTCACTGAGCAGACAACTGTAAAATGGTCTATTAGCCATTTCTGGGAGAGCTATCTTGAAGTAAGCGCGACTGGGAGCAGTATCACTGGCTTTAGCTATCAGACAGTATTCTGACTTATCGTGTGTATGTTTTATCGTGACGAAAAAAAGAGCAAAAAACCTTGGGATCATAATGATATTAATTTGACTTGCCAGGCATTTTTGCAAGGTATTTATGGTAGGAAGTATGTGTGGTTGCTTCCCGGATGGTACAGTGACAGATGGTGGGAAAATAGCGCTGACACCTCATGTACTAAACACGACATAAAGTTAGCAGCTGGCAACTACCTAGCTACCAGACCTTTACCTGTCGGAGACTCCACAACCCCTACAATTGCTGGAAAGGTTAGTGACGGCTTTCCTCCTCTGGAAGTAAAACGTAATGGGTTAGGGTTTAGGGTTGGGGTAAATTTGGGTCTAGAGTTAGGGTACGAAATTCGATTATCTGTCACCAAAACAACAACAACAACAACAAAAACACTCCGTTCTAATGAAAGCACTCTTCTCTCGTGACTCAACTAGTAGGCGAACCTAGACGGATTTCCGCCTGTTGTTTCCATCTTGCTTGCTTTTGTAAGGTCTTCACGATGACAAAAGTTTTGACCTCACGGAAAGCGTTTTTCGGAATCGTTTTCACAGACCATCCTTTCAACCCTCGATGACTCTGATCAACAGCTAGGTGAAAATCCTTTCACATTCAGGCCGCGCTTCAGTTAAGGAGTGCCATTTTCTTGCTAATTTGTTCAAATGAGCCGAATGCACTCAACATCCGGTTAATCATTGAATCTTTTTGTTTTCAGACCGCTGTCGAGCTCGACAAGGAGCTGATGAGAAAAAGCAAAAAACTGAACTACCCCGCTAATGCATTTTCGTCTTTTGCGTATGACGCGATATGGAGCATTGCACTCACTTTGCAGAAGTCGTCCCCAGTCCTCAAAGCTCGCAACAAGAGTTTGTCAAGCATAACATATGGTGACAAGGAAACCACTGAACTTTTCAAGCGAGTGCTTAGGAATCTAACTTTCATTGGCATGTCGGTCAGTGGATATACTGCTAATTAACGGCTAATTAGAATGCTAGTTAGAATGTTTTAGGAGAGTATGATACAGTCGAACCTCCGGTTACGACCACCTCCGTAAGCGACCACTCCTCCTCAGTGACCAGTTTTGCAAAATACCCTAACGTTTCCGAGTCAAATCACTATATTTGAAGCCTTTAGTAAGCGGCTGCTACCACTTTTAGGGCTAATAGTTTGAAATTTATATTTTTTTAACCTCTCGTAAGCCACCATTTGACAGATGTTGGATAATAACTAAAGGTGTTGTAATATTATCGCATTCCTGGATAGTAAAAGAGACGGAAATTTTTCATTACGAAGAACCGGATTTTGTCTCAAAATTGACTTTTCACATGAACAAAACGTTAAAACACGGGGCAAGTCTCTGCAGTTACCATATGCTAATATAATGAGGCAAAATTTTGACTCAATATGGTCTAAGCTCTCGCGAGCGACCACCTTCCGTAAGGGACTACCTAGGCTTGGCATTTTGGGTGGTCGCTCACAGGTTGTTCGACTGTACACTTGTTTAAACTTTTAGCATCTTATATAATAATTACTAGCAACGTTTTCATGATATTCTTACTGAAACATGTGTCGCAGCTTTCTCTTTTGACCAGGCTTGACCTAAGGAAGGCTTGACTACCAACTTCAGCCGGTTTACGGATAGTCTTTAGGTTTAAGATTGATTAATCCAAGTGCTAGTTCTGCAATAGGCCACGACCGATATATCAATGTTCTAACATGGTTCCGAGGCTTTCAGTACAAACTTCTATATTTGGTGTTGCTTTCTTTGTATCCAAGTCTCTTTTGGGAATTGAGAGACAAACGAAACTTAAAAAATTTTTAACATTTTGACCCGAAAGCTTCCGAACCATGTTAAAATTTTGATTGATCGAACGTGGCCTATTAGCTCCCTACTTTTGTTATTAATACAGTTCTATTTCTTGCGTTACAGGGTACAGTGAAGTTTGACAAACACGGGGATCGAGAAACTACTATAGAAATTTTACAGCAACAAGGTGTGTTTGTTCAGTTTTCCAATATCATTTCTTGATTGGTTTAGGGAATGATGCATCCATGACTTCCTTCTACAAACTAACCGTTATTTTATTTTATTTTATTTTATTTTTTTTTGCCTCAACTTTTAGGCGATTTGAGAAAAGTGGTTGGACTTTGCAATACATCTTCAAGTACTTTAAATTATTCGCCATTTCTGTGGGAAGGTATTCTACATTAAGGCTGTATTGAATCGAATTGTTAGAAATGTTGCCCTTGAACAAAGTATCTTGTTAGTCCAGCTCATGAGAATCTTTGAAAATCGAATCTGGTTTTTTAGCCAATGTTAGAAATTAGACAACATTTAAACAAACCAAATCAAGTATATACAATCTCAGTAAGTCTGTCTGTGTGAACCAGTTCGACCCGAATGGGAATTCACTTTTTAATTAATTTGAAAACTAAAATCGAAGTTGCTGTTGCTGTTGTTGTGGCTATTATTCTTGTTGTTGTTGTTGTTGTTGTTGTTGTTGTTCCTCTTCTTGTACTCCTTCTCATTAATGTTACTTAAGACATTGTCGTTTAAACCTTAAGTATTTTCTCTTTTTTGTTTATTTCTAAAGGGAAAATTCCATCTGATGGAGTTGTTAACGAGACCAAGCTTTATAAAGCACCAAAGCAACTTACGATCCTCACACTGGTCACGTCCTCTTTTGGAATGTTGTTTTCATTAGGATGCCTGATTATGAATATTGTATACAGAAAGCATAGGTTAGTGCCATGTTGGTCACCATTGTTAATACATGCTGGCCTTCATTTGACAGTTGAAAGGGTTAAGGGTGCGTCAATGTCTGATTGGATGGTTTGATTTGAGAGATCATAACATGACCTTCGGAGCAATTGGCTTTTACATGCAAAAATATATCCACATATATTTCGCGATCAATAAATGATAACTTTTTTGGATTCTATCCGACGCAGTGACACATGCTTGAGGCGAAATGATTTGCCTAGGAATACAATCTCAAAATGGCTAGACAGTGGAATGGAAATACATGTAGGATTATCTGTACTGGGCAGTCAATTATCAAGACAACATATATATATTGATTAATAGTAGTTAATATTAATTAATATGAACTGCCGGTTGACGCACTTATTTCGATAACATATCGAGAGTAGGTTTGTATGTCCAAAAAATCCATTTGAGTGGCTGCCTGCCAGTTAAACTTTTTTCTTTCGTTCAGTGTCGATCCATATACGTTTGACCATTTCTCTGTTGTTGTTTTTTTCTGTGTGTTACTGTTACTGTCCTTTCACGGTTTTGTCAGTCTGTTTCCTTTTTAACGACCGACCGTGCACCACTTGGAATCAGCGATGCAATAGCTGGTCAAACTAACTAGCGTTTTCTTAATTTAATACCAGAATTATCAAGATGTCCTCCCCGCATTTCAATAGCATCATAGCATTTGGATGTTTCTTGTGCTATACCCACGTTTTACTGGCTACGTTCGGAAATTCAATTGTATACGTGGGAAAAAGCAGAACTATTTGTCAGGTAGGTATATAGTTATGACCTTCGCTATCATCAGTTGCATTGCTTCTAGCTATAGAACCGAGAAAATGAATTAAATCGGCTAAGTAGTTAAGAGGCTGGACCGGGCAGACAGTCCAAAGCTCGTCTGTTTCTGTCACTCCTGCCCACGAATGCGGCTCATCGTCTCACCACCAGCATTTGCTATGAATATAGCCCCCGAATAGCTTATTCAAGCAAATTATAGATCTCCGATAATGTTAAACACTTCCCATTTGAATTTTTTTCCTTCTTACTGCATTTAGTAAGATGGAGTTTAGAAACCCTGTTTTTTCCTTCCTACCTAAGAGAATGTGTTCAGACTGTCAGTAACGGACTAGCCCTGCCTTCCTTGCTCAGATATGTGTGTGTCAGGTTATATTGCAGGCTTGAGAGGGCAGTTCTAGGGGTGAAAGATAGACTGAATGATTAGTTATATATAAAATTTGCCACAGGTTGCATTTGCGCACTAATTACTTGTCACTCTTTTGATTGAACTTTGCCGAGCAGAGCGCCATGTTGAATGGCAGTTATGAAATTAATTATTTGTTCTTCTCCTCTATCCCAAGGTCCGCGCGTACCTCATTGTTGTCGGTTTTACACTGGTGTTTGGAGGGATGTTGTCAAAGACGTGGCGAGTGTACAAAATTTTCACAAATAGGCGTCTGAAGCGACAAGTATGACATCTAGATTAGTTTCTGTTCTTCAATTTAGTCATGTGCAAAAAGTTCATTAAGTACGTACTTTCACTGAGTTGGTGTTCATTCGAGTGAATCAGCCGACCTAATAATTACTGCGTTGTGCTGGCCCAGCCTCCTACGCAGACATTCCTCCGGGGGGGGGGGGGAGGGGTGGCGGGGTGGCGGGAGAGAAGCCAAAAGAGCATCTACGTAGGAGGTTAGCGCTGGCCAGGATCCTTTTATTGTTGAGCAGGAAACGTGCCCTTTGCAGTTCCTGTCTCCAACCAGGAGTATAAATTTCAGTATTCCTTCGGGCGACTTATTAACCTAATAAGTGCGTTGCCCCTGGATTGCGTTCCGGTCCGTGTTCAAGTACTGGCCAGAATCCTTTAGCTGTGTTCTTGAGCTAGAAACTTTGACTGTCACATGGCTGTCTTCAGCCGGGTAACCTGACATGTTCTTGGTATTTAGTAAGATCAAGACAATAAATCAGCAATTACTATTTCATTCATATATGACTGCTCTTCTTCACAGATAGGAGGACTGAACACGGCGCACTTGTTCCTTAAAATTTTTCATCTTTTGCTCGTGGATGTTGTGGTGCTAGTGAGTTGGGAGCTTGTGGATCCATTGCAATCAGAAACAATTAAAATCTCTGAAGAGGTAAGAAAGAAGATGAAGGGTGTTTTTTTAAAGAGGGTACAAGAAAAAATAGGAAACGGTCACTTTTCGTTTGCAAGTAATATAATTTTCTTTGTGACTCAGTATGTCGGATTAATCCATTTGAGGATAAAGCAAGAACAAAATGAGGGAAAATTCGTTAAAATGACTATCTTACCTCTCTGAGCCAGAATTTTAGCGTATGAGTTTAAGAGTTATCGTTTTGAACGTGAAGTTTAAGGCATATATAGATAACGGTGCTTACGTCCAACTACGCCGCCTCAGGGACATCCGTATATGCATATATAAGTATGAACAATCAGGTTATACAAATTTAATAACCGAACAGATGATGTGCAAAAGCTTTCTATTTTTCCATTGAGTTATAATTAAGGTCCGCCATCTTAAAAAGATATCTTTGATTTTGTTGTTGTTTTTTTTCATTTTTAGCTACAGCCTGACAATGAAGACATTAACATCATAACCATGAATCATCAATGTGTCTCAGAACATTACTCCCAATGGGTCCTTGGAATAATGATCTACAAAGGCATACTTCTCCTTTTTGGGGTCTTCTTAGCCTGGGAAACAAGGAATGTGCATTACGCGGAACTCAACGATTCCAAGAACATCGGTGTAGCAGTTTATAACATCTTACTGTTCTCGGTGGTCTCCATTACAACAGAGTTTGTGCTCAGCAATTTCCTGGCCAAGAGAATCTTTAACAACTCCGTGATTTTGGTATGCACGACCCTCGTGCTTTGTTTGGTCTTTCTTACTAAGGTATGGTGAACAATGTTTTTTAAAATTTGCATTGATTTTATGTATATGGTTAAGTTAGGTAGCAGAAATACCGTCTTCTTTTGCTGAGAACGATATATCGATGCCAAGTAGTCTGCGAGCAGGCTCGCGCTTGGGGAGCATCACTTCTCCCGCCGCATTGCTTCGTTCTCCGACTCGCTTTTTCCAGTCGCTCGCGCATGCGAGTCAAAGGTGAGCCAGCATGGCCGCAGAGCAGATGCTAAGCAACTGACGGCACGATGTTCTCGCTGGCCGGTCAAGATCTAGAAACTGTCACATTGCCTTTGTTAATGTCTCACTGCATGGGCACACAAATACTTGTGAGAAATTTAATAGCACAACCCGAGAATGTGTTCAGAGCATGCTTGTATGCAGTTGACTGTGTAGTGGTAATAATTCTGTTTCCCGACATGCCTTAGAAATTTGTAGGGTCATAGGCTAGCACTGAAAAAAATTAGCAGGAGGCAGGTCCTGTTACACCACAAGACTGATTGAGAAGCTAAACTCGATTCTATTGAAAACAACTTCAGCTACTGGACGCAGTGACGGAAGTTGAACCCAAGACCAAACGGCACTCTAGCAACTGGACGTCGATGCCACCTTACAATACTAAATGTAACTACGACCTGACAGAACTCAATTTACATTTCTATTTAATTACTTAGATCACTCGCCTTACACGGGGCTCACAAGTGCAAGTAGACGAAGACCGAGAACATGAGGCAAAACAACAGACTATTTCCTGTGCTAACAGAAGCCAGTTTAACCCATCCAGTATCACTGTGACCGAGATGGAGCAACCTGTTCGGTAGTGAGTGGGAATAGAAATGTCAATGGCAAGCGGTGGACTGGAGAGTTTACGACAGTCTTACGCTGTATACCATGTGGAAAGTCAAAGATAAAGAGTGTAAAGAACTCGTGAACATTTTCCCTACAAACTGAAATGCCACATTCCGGCTTTGACGTCAGTGAAAGACAACAAATAGAAAAAGAACTATTTCAGAATGGTCCAGGAGGCTAGTAATCGACTATTCAATGTGATGACAGCAGTTCTTTCAATACCGAAAGAATTAAGATCTACTCGCAAAGTACATTTTTTTTAATGCCAAGTCTGTAAAAAAGAAAATGGTGACGCAGTTAATGCCTTCGACGCAGGTTCGATAGATCCGGGTTACTTGGTTGCAGACTCGTTCCCCGTCTCTATTTCTTGTTGAAATGAGGCTAAAGGCTAAAACAAATATTATGTCTATTATGAAGGTGGCGGGCTATGTAGAGAGGAGGAACAATAGAAAGAAGGGCCGCTCTTTGGTATTCGTTCCCCTCCGCCTTGATACAACACGTTACTATCAAGTCCTTTTCAAGAGTCACTGGGAACGACCTTGACTCTTTTAGGCCGGTTTTTGCTAACTGACCGTTTAACGACGTCTTTCTCTGCCTGGAAGTAAAAAAAAGATTACCAGCGCACTGTTAGATTAATTTGTCAAAATTCCGGGAAAGACCCATGCCTGAACACTAGCATGCCATTCAGAAGAGTAGCGATCTACCAGTGGTCGCTTTATTTTGTGGAAACTAGAGTAAAAATCCAGTATGATAGCTTGGGGAGAGGCGATAGCCTCACGGTTAGTGCGCTCAACTCCAAATCGAGTGCTCCAGGATCGAGCCCTGGCCGGGATTATTTGTTGTGTTCTTGGGTAAGACAATTTACTCGTACAGTGCCTTTCTTCACCCAAGTGTGTAATTGGGTACCAGCGAATTTAACTCTGGGGGTAGCCCTGGGATGGACTAGCATCCCAGTGGGGCAGAGGGATGTAGAAATACTCCTTAGTCGCTTCGTGCCACAGAAACCGGGATGAGCTCCGGCCTGATGGGCAATTTAGCTTGTATGCAGACTTTCCCTATGATAGTTCACTTCAGGCTGAAAATCCAGGAGTTTAGACCCTCCGAAGATAGATTAATCAGCTAGATTGTAGACACCTTGATCGTTCACCACACATTCATAATTTAACGAATAGTCCCGCCAGGACAATCACATTGTACCAGCTACTAATCATTAAAGATCACAGCCTGAATATTTAGCCTTGCCCTCTTGATTTAGCAGCCAAATATTGTTCTCGATTTAGTGCAATGTTGTAAACTTGTACTCTGGAAATTCTGCCCTTAAAGTATCTGCCGTCGTCACTTTTTACGCCAAGCCTGACATTAGTAAAAGTACTCAAAGTAAAGACTCCTAAAGTGGACTGTTTAACTTGTGTTCCGTTGATCCAAAGCCTGGCAATTCCACTGTTGTAATCATAAGACGCACCGACGTAGATCCATTGCCCCCAGTTAACCGGACTGGTCAAAGAGCTGACCATAACGTCATTTCTGTTCGCCAGACGGAAAAATAAATTTCCGTTAACTATCCAGAGGTGAACAGCCCAAGGCCCTGAAGGTCTGTAGTTGAAGACAGGGCCATTTTGTCCTTCAGGTAGCACCCACATGATCAGCGACAGAGAGTACTGCGTGTCTAGCCCTCCGTTATTTGGGAGTTCGATGTAGCTGTTAGACGTACCCCAGAACTGGTACGACCCACCTGTGTCCCCGTGAGGTCCAACCGCAAGCTGCACATTGGACGCGATCCCGTCCGGTTGACTCCCCATCATATCCTTTGTGGTGTAAGCAGCATTTAAAGGGTACAGGGCTACAGGATCTTGAACATCTGATAAAAAAAATACGTAGAAAGTGAGAGAGGGAGATAACTGCCCGAAAGCACATTATCATATGGAGAATAGGCACCTGTGAAAAAATGTGGTTAACATTGCAGTAATGCGCATGGTGCGTATACAGTGTACTTGACAGCAAAGGTTTGGAACACTCCTATTTATCTAACACCAGGATGACTTTCTTTAACTGGTACGAAGCCATACCCGTTTCCTCTATGGACGTTTGTGCTCATTTAACTTAAATGAAATCATCATCATATGTCATACTGGAAAGACGGGTACCGAAGCGAGTTCTTTCATTTGCTGTCAAGGGTCGACATTGTCACTCCGGTACGAGACTTCGCACCAGTATAACGTTTTGATGCGAAATAAGCCAAGTGCATTGTGTGAAAAATGTAAGACGCGGTGTGAAATAACGTACATTAGTCGGTCTTGTATGAACTTCACTACAGATACGACTTGTCAGATGTAAGCATCCCTTAAAGCCTCCCCAGGTGAATAGGGACTTCACTCGCGCACATAGACTGGTCAGAGTCAAAACATATTTTTAGAACGCTATCAAATGACTGTCAAAAAAACAATCCATAACAATTTCGAGTGCCAATATACAGTGCGCATCATTCTCAAAAATAGTATTGAACCGCAAACAAACCTATTGTCTCGCACGTTATTCCGTTAATGTATGTAGGACAGTTGCAGTGGAACTTGTTCACACCATCAATACACGTTCCTCCATTCAAACACGGATTGCTGGAACACTCGTTGATATCTAAGAAAACAGGTTGTAAATTAAACAATCAGTAGACAAACCGCAAAACGTTTCATGACCTGTTTGTGGACTAAATAGAAAATCAATTGGACGGAGGAATGGATAGATGGGAAGGAGGAAGGAAAAGGTAGGGAAGCTGGAGGGAGGAAGAAATGGACGAACTGACAGAGGGTCAGAGAGAGAGATACAGGGATGGATGGACGGAATGACGGATAGATGGAGGGAGCAAGGGAGGAAAGGCAGGTGGGAGGGAGGAGTAAATGGCGGAAGGACAGATGGACGGATGGGTGCACGGATGGATGGACGGACGGACGGACGGATTGGGTGCACGGCATGAACTTACAATGGATGGACGGAATAACTTTCTTTCTATAGCATAAAGCTGAATGTTTGCATTACAGCCAGTGTTCGTATTTAATCAGCTTAGCAACTTACTTACCAGTCTCGCAGTGGTTGCCGGTGTATCCTGGTAGGCAGCTGCAACTGTATCTGTTGACTTGGTCACTACACAGTCCGCCATTTAAACAAGGATCAGAGGAGCACTCATCGATGTCTTGGGAATATAAGATAAACTATGCACTTACATGATCATTATTGACTGATAATCTGCTTGGTTTGAGTCTTTATAGAGCTATAGTCCTACAGAAACAAACTTATTTGGCCTTTCGACCTGTGCGATAGCATTGAAAAGGAAAGATAACACGAAGAAAATGGTGCAAAATGCCATTACTGAGATATACAAACAGAGAGATTTTGTTTTTGTTCTTATTTTGCTTGCCCTATGGACCCGATTTTTCAAAGGTCTTTAAACAGACAACAAAACTGCACCCTGTTAAATGTGAAGCGTCTGTGCACACAATCTGATAAAGGGAAAAAATAACAGTGGACTAATTAGATCGATTGAGGCTGTCCGGTTAGTGCATGTATTCATCAGCTTTGATGAATGAGACAACTTGCTGACGGCGGATTAACGGATAAAAGAAAGTTGCACTTCGTTGGATCAAAGATAACAGCTACTGGTAAATATCTATATACACCATAAGAAACGGCGGCGAAGTTCAAGCATGCAGGTCTATAGAGGTTGACAATGTTCAAATCGAATATGGGGCCGAATTCTGCCTCTTCAGACTTTTAGAACTGAGCCGAACTACTCTTGCATGGTTTACAAAAGGGTTTCAAGGCGCTGAATGCCAGTCATTTACCCTTAACTTAGAAATGACTAGAACAAGACCAAGATATACATTTTTTTGACAAATTTGATAATGATGTTATATGTTCAAGCAAAATCAGTTTCAGTTGGTTTTCGTTTTTGCTATCAACGTTCAAAACATGTTTCTAAAATTCACGAAAGTTAATCTTAAATGAAGAAAATGGGCATTTTCAAACCCTTTATACTTTTCGTGCGTTAATGCATGCAAACTAAGATCTGATTCCTGAACTGACTCCAGTATAAATGATTGCATTTATATACTGGAGAAGTCTGCGTCTGCGGCATGAGACGGTCAGTGTTAAGTTATTCACGCGCTAAAAAGCGTTACTGGCACGGTTCCGACATAAATGGTACACGTACCAAAAACAATTGCCTGGCACGGAAACGTTTATTCGTTCAGTAAGCGACTTCTCCTCATCCACGCCGAGTTTTTCTTTGAAATTGAATATGGGTCCGAGCACGGGTGAGAAAATGTCCTTTACACAACGAAATGTATCTGTGCAGGGCTAGTTTTTTTGATACGCGTGTCATTTACATCGGAATCGTGCCAAAACTTTTCCAGTCTCATTCAAAATGTGAATATCGTGTTTGACTTTTTATCGTACAAACTGGTGCGTCCGGTTTATTCACCAGATCATTTTGACGTAACACAGCCAGTGTTTTACGAAGATAATTCTAGGATACTTTTGTCTCGAGCTTCCATGCAGACTCTTCCGAATGATCGATTATTACGATATTTGTGTCAATAGTTTAGATGATCTAACTTGTGATTATTGTTACGGCATTTGCGACAGCTGATAACGCCTCATCATTTACTCTTAGCAAACTAATGACCTGCAGTGACCGCCCTCAGTGATCCATTCAGCCTGATGGACAAGAACCTAAGCTTTCCATTATGCCAGCCTGCATCATTGCATCACAAGCAACTAAATGATGATCATTGTAAATTTGATTGTGAAATACCTATTTCGCAATGCCTTCCACTATATCCTGGAGCACATGCACATTGGTAATCGCCACTCTCGTACTTTGCCACACAAGTTGAATTGTTAGCACAAGGACTGCTGGAACAAGGAGTCTGTTTACGCCAGAAAGAACAATAATGTCATTGCAAAGTATAATTTCGATTCGAAGTTTTTCAACAATGTCGATCGGGATTTATTTTAGTTCAAACGTTTCAAGGTTGTCATTTGCTTGCGTTATTCCTATTTTACAGAGTGGCCATCTACATTCCTTTCTGGTAAATCGCCAAAAAAAAAAAATAATAATATATATATATATATATATAAAATGAAAAAATAAACATACGAAACGAGTATATGGGTTTGCTATTTGTTTAACAAATCCTTCGCTGCACCTGCCTCATTGTCGTACGAAATTGCTCTGTGTTGTACAATGATATCTATCCTGAGTTACGCTATTCAAAGATTATGTTAGAGTTAAATGGGAAAGAACTTTTAAGTTTTGTTTCAATTTTAGAGGAGAATTACAATTACAGACCAGCAGTCTTACCTTCAGTTGGTGAAGCGTGTTGTGATGCTCAAGTAATTCAATTAAAAAATTAACAAAAATAAATAAAACAGCGCCAAAAAATAACCATTTTCCATGCAATTTGCACACTTAACTGTAGAAAATTCAATTATCCAGAAAATTTAAATTTCATTTTTACTCACCTTTATACTGAAGTGATGGAATATTGGGCTTGGCGCAAACATGTTTGACTCGCTGTATTTATCACTTTGCAAAAGTTGGCATAAAATTTTTCTCTCCATGTTGTCGCGGAAAGCCGCGTAGTTGAAGGAAAAACACGACAGATGATCGAGGCAAAGTTTACCGCACTCTTTTATCTCCTTTACTGACGTGGAAACGAGAGGAGTTAAGTCCAGGCGACTAAATTTGTGCGCTACAAAGTTGGCGTACGCGATGCCAAGGTGAGGGTCTCGCTTCAAACCTTTGCTCCCATCAACGTAAATCTCGCTTACCACTGGATAACTCAAGTCTGTGAAGATTCCAAAGGCTAAAAGTCCCACTTGAATAAAGAAGCTAAACATCATTAGTAGCGGTTTAACACATCAGCGATGAAGGGTCCTTCTGCATGGCTAGCGATATGAACAAATCATGGATATGTGTTAGTTATGTAATGAGCCGTTCAAAAAAAATTAGAATTGTCATAAATAAGAAATGAACTAATTAACATTAGCCAAGCCGAAAGAACTTTTGATTATATGAAACCATTATAGTAGTTTTAACAAAGTTAATCCTTTTACAAAAATGCTGAAAAATGGTGTTTTCAATTTTAGTGACAATGCGAGTACAACGACAACAAAAACTTTCTGGCTTATTCTTGCCTTTTTCCAATGTCAAAATTGATCTTAACTTTTTCGTTGGGGGTCGAACAGTTTGTCAAAATCCTCAATAGCCCAGAAGGATCGGCTTCTTGTAACCGTGCGCAAGAGTTAACCTGAGAAATACGGATTAGATACTTATATCTTATTTCGTTGGCTATTATTTGGAGAGGTTAAGGCTTATCAACTTTGCATGGCCAAACTAACGTTAGCTTCCACCTCAAAGCAGAATTTTGATATGTGTTCGTGTGTATCCGCCGCTAAGGTGGGAGACTATCTGGAGCGAACGGCCGGCCTGGGTTAATCGCTTAAAGCCTAAACGTCAAACATCAACCAATAAATGAAGTACCCATTTTAGTTTTCGAGTGAGTATCGTAGACTCAACTTATGAGGCAGAGGAAACTGGAATTAAAGTACAACACGTAGGCCCCCATCGAGAAAGCATCGTAACCTGACTGAGCGTAAGGACGATCAAGCAAATAAACTGACGCAGGGTTTGTTGTTCGGTCCGATCGTTTGTTTAAGGCGGGGGTACACATGAATTTAAGTGAAATTTTAGGAAGTTTAAAGAGGGATTAAAAGGATAAAAAGGGGTTTGGAACACCACCAGACAGTTGA